AGATAATAAATATTCCTCCCTTCGTCACGGAATTTTCTAATTGATCTTAAGTAGGATCTTCGCCAACAAATAATTTCATCTTTATCGATAAGAACTGACTTCCTGTTCTGCTTTTCCCAGCAAAAATTCAACTCTCGTAAGACGGCCCATAATTTGCTTCTACTGATTTTTGGCAAATCGTTGTCCTCTGAAAGTTCACTTAAAATTTTGTTTAGCGTTGGTATTTCTTTCTTAAAATAAAATGAGTGTACTTTTCTGCGAATGACATTTTTGAAGAAATCATCTATAACGACTTTTGATCTCCCTGTAGATGTTTTTGGGGGATTTACAGTATCTTGTTCATTTTTTGTTTCCTTTAAAAGTCTGTAGATAGTCGATTTTCCAATCCCTGTCATTTTTGTTAGCATTAGTGTTACCCGATAATTACCTGAAACGAAATATCACCACGCCCATGGCCGGTTCTTATTTCGGGGTTTTATTACTCTCTTTCATTTCCAAACAGACTATAATACTTTGTATTGCTGAAATTTCAAATCATCCTGAGATAATTTATCATTTTTGCATTTGTAATTCGACTTAGATGTTTATAGCAATACTGTACAAAAATAAAGTTTTGGGTTAAACAATGAGACAGTTTTTTTTTTTATTTTTTTCCGTAGAATTGAATGGCGTAATCAGTTTTTGAATGACTTTTAATTTAAACAAATTAACAATTACTGAAAATTTCATTGCTGCAAGTTATTTTTTATTTTTTTTATATTTTTGAGCATGTTTTTGAATTATGATTGCAAATTTTTTATTTCACCAAAAAGTATATGTCAAAACGAGAAAAATGATTATCGGCAGAACTCTGTATGATAATTTTTTTAAGTAGAATTTTTCTTTGAAAAGTGTTTCAGGTCGAAAAAATGAATATCAGAAATTTCTTCATTTTTTTATCTAAAAAAATTTGAGGTTATTTAAAACAGAGAAAAGTATACTTTTACCAAGTTTCGTCAAAATTAAATTATTTTTGCGGAAATGAGAAATAAAAAACGGAAAATCAGAAAAAAAACAGTTTTTCGCATTTTTCTCGGAAATTTTGAGGTTATCTTAAAAAGTGACCTCTATAAAAGTTTTTTTTGCATGATCTACAACTTTTGTATTGGATACTTTTTGGTTTGACGTCAACTTTCGCCAGAAATCCCAATGATACAATTTTTCATAATGTTTCAACCCCCCAAATGAACCCTTCGCCGCCCCTGCTCACGCATTTATTTATTTTTAGGTTTATTATAAGCCCATTTACCATTTCCACTTATAAAAGTCCAGGTAACAATTTTTTTTTCTCCAAGAGTAATTTGGTGGGACTATGGGTATTTTTTAAATATTTC